GGTTTGGGGTTTTTTTTTTCTTTTTCAGATAATATAATCAATTTTGAAACTGAGAAAAAGCAACTTTAAAAATACTTTAGAAACAATTAAAAATAGAATTAACACTACTAATAATGGAATAAAAATCAAATCAATGACAAGGAAAAGTTTAAATAATTCTTCAAAATGTAGAGGGCTAGGACCAAGATTTTTTAATGAGGAGAGAAAAAGACTGTGATTACTAACATATGGGTAGTTTGTGTTTCTGACAATAAGATCGGAATAAATGGAAGATAATATTCAAAGACATAACACACACACACACACACACACACACACACACACACACGCAATGACCTATGGAAGCACTTTGATCTACATATCAGAAGAGGCTACCTGACACCCAGCAGAACTAATATAACAGACCAATAAATAGAAACAACCAGGTGAAAGTATGGACCCTCAAAGAAAAAAATTTAACAAGCAAAAGGACAAAATCTGATGACTTATAAGGGAAGAAACCCCAGGCTGACTTGAGACTTCTCCTTTTAACAATTAAATGCCAGAAGTCAATGAAGCAACATCTATGGAGACTTGTTGTAACTCAAGATTTCTATACCTATCTATCTTGTCACTTTTGTGAAAGCAAGAGAAACGCCAAGTGCTTAAGCATCCTATCCAGGTACCCATCCTGAAAGGGGAGAAAAATCCTCTCAAACTATTCCAGAGGACCCAAGAATGGGGAAGCCACCTGTTGGTGAACACCGGAATACCCAAACACAGAAATGCATGTTGAAACTTGTTGCAAATATAGTCACAAAGCAGAAGACATAATTTTTTTTAATAAAATGAGATATTATTTAAAGTACTTAGCCTAGTGCAGGGCAAACGATAAAGCTCAATTAAATTCAATAAAAAGAAAATAGATAATCTGAATATTAGTATCATGTAAGTAAAATTTAAAACAAAGCTAATAAATTAAACCACAAGAATTGTGTGTGTGTGTGTGTGATGAAGCACACAAACCAATGTTAAAAATATACTAGTCAGGAACCTTTATGAACCAAATAACAAAATGTTGAGATATATAAATACTAATAAAAACAATATTTGGAGAAAATGAGAGAAAGTGCAAAAGTTTTTAACATATAAAATAGGCAAGAAATACACGAAAATAGAGACAATTTGAAGGCTATAATTAATAAGGACAAATTAAAAAAAAGCATAAGAATAAAATATTATGTCCTGTTTTCAAGGACACACTGAGTAATTTAAAAATAATAATCACATGTTATACCTCAAAGACACTTTTAATAAATTTTAAAGAACTAAAATCATTCTAAAAACGTTCTTTACTACAAGACAACAAAATTAAATCTTAAATCCAAACTGATAGGGAAAAGAAAATCACCTGGAAATTAAATTATACACACACACATACCACAAAAAACACCTGAATGGTTACTGTGTGAAAGAGAAAATAAAAACTTCAAAACTAAAACATTTAGAAAATAAAAAAGCATTATTTCATATAAAAATTTATGAATGCAGAAAAAAAATCATAGTTTTAAATGATTTAGTTATGAATGAGAAGACTAAAAATAGAGCATGCAAATCAAAAAGCCCAGAAAAAAAGAAATAAAATCAACCCAGAGAAGTGCAGTATGTACTTGGATACTTAGAGACTCTTGGCCTCACCTCCCTTGCTGGATCTCTCAAATCATTCTATTTCTCTAAATCTCTTGAAATTCAGGTAATTTATAGAGGCGTTGTGAGGGTGGAGAATTCCTAGGTTATTAGTAAACTGGTCTCCAGAAAGTGCTTTGAGGCAAAGCTAATTTCTTTTCTTAATATGAAAAGAGTTGGGGCCTACTGAGAAGAAGGAAATTATTTGAGCATGTGCCAGATAATATGTTTTCTATCTTTCCTTTGTTGGACACTCAGTGAGAGTTACTCTCATTTACTCCTCTTTATTGCATTTGAGTAAAGCACAAGCCAGGCTTGAAGATGATAAATGACTAATAAATTTTAATTGGCAGTTTAGTTCATAAAATATAAACAATCATTAAATTCATCCAGAAAATTGTTAGAATGGAAGTGCTCAAAATTGCAGAATGTGTCAAAATAGCAGCTTTGAGATCATCTGTTTTCCTTCCAGTCTCAAGACTAACCCTAGAACCAAGATTTCTAATGGAATATATGGGAAAGTAGAAGTTCAAAATTTTTTTGAAGAGCTCAGAATTGTTGGGGAGAATACAGAAGTGGGTTAAAACATCGAGGAATAATATTGAAACACTTTCTCGATTCAAATGTTCTGGTAATTAATGTGTTCTTTCTTCCCCCAAATACATGCATGCTGCTGTAGGCACTGTGGGCAAAATAAAGATGAATTTGGAGTGGATTCCTCTTTGTTGCATGGGCCAGGATGGGAGAAAATGCTTCTTTTTAAACTAAGCAAACTACCAGTGAGTAGGTGGGTAAGTATCATTAAGGGAGGAACAAAGAGAATCTCTGGCCTCAAGGAACTGGTTATGATTCTATAAATACTGCAAAATAATAATGCTTCTGTTTTTAGGGACCTTCTTAAATAACTCAGTGGGTCTATGCTGGTGGCTTCTAGAGCATTTATCTCATGACATTTTCTATCATCTTTTAGAAATGGGTGACCTATAAGGACACCAGCCAATTCAAAGTCACAAAAGTAACTTTCTTTGATACAGCAATTTCATTTTTCTAAACTTTCCCTAAAGAAATAATAAAGGATGATCACAAAGATTTAATTATGAGAATGTTCATTGCAGAATCGCTAATAATAGCCAAAAATCAGTAAAAAAAAAAAAAAAAAAAGCTGAAACAATAACAGGAAATTATCTACCTAATGGAACAATCATCCAAGGGGTCATTGAAGTGTCAGGGAATGTGCAGTGTTGGCCTGCCAAGGTCAGAGGTCAGAGGTCAAAAGAAGAGGGCACAGCATTCTGGAGGAAGCATTCTCAAAGCAGGGAATGGGTGGAGGGACAGAGATTCATTGTCTGAACTTCTCCATTCTTAATAGAAGTAAAAGTATGGAAGACAAGCTCTGACAGAGCCTGCTACTTACCTGCCTATCCTTTCATCTTCCTTAGGAAAAGAAATCTAATTTTATTCTAGTCAATGAGCTCAGGTTAAAAACATTTCCCAGCCTTTACTTCAGTTAAAGATAACAAATGAGATGCAAGAAAAAGTTAATGGGTGGGATTAGTAGGAATGCCAATTAACAGGAGGACAGATAGCTGGCCCCTTTGTCCTTTCTCCCTTCTTCCTTCCTGCTGGCTTGAATTTGGACACGATGGCAGGAGTTCTAGCAGCCATCTTGGATCAAGAGCTATCTGTACCATAAGTTGACTTTGAGAATACCAAAATCCCTAAACCATTGTCGTCCAGTTGATTCTGACTCATAGAGACCCTATACAACAGAGTAGAACCGCCCCTTGGGATTTCCAAGGCTGTAATCTTTATGTAAGTAGATTGCCACATCTTTCTCCTTGGAGCGCCTGGTGGGTTCCAACCTCAGACCTTTCAGTTAGCGGCCGCATGCTTAACCACTGCGCTACCAGGACTCCTCACTTTGAGAATACAAGTCCCTTAATAGAGTAGAAATATAGAGAAGCCTTGGTCCTTGATAATACAGAACACAATATGAGCCCTGGCCTGCTACCTCAAGACTTCCTTACATAAGATAAAAAGAAATCTTTATAAATGTAAGCTACCATTGTCTGGAGTTTTCTGTATGGGCAGCTGGATCTAAATCCAACTGATTCACCAATTAGACACATAAAAATACCAAATAGAAATCAAAATGTTCTTCAAAACATCACTCAAGGCTATTGGTTCTGTAAGCAGGAGGCTGTTTTCAAGAGGTAACATCACGATGGAAAATATTTAATTAAAAACATTAGCCTTACCCAACAATGCTTACTAGCTTAGCACTTATTTTTCCACTTCAGAAGAGCCAAGTATAAAATGCCCTGAATTTACTTTTCCAAATGCTTGTGTCACTGACGATGTCAGTTGAATCTGATGATTTAACAATATATTTGTATAAAAAAAGTTTGGTCATCCTGCAAATAATACTTGAGACTCAAAGACACGGTTGAGCAAAGTGCAGTGTGCCTGAATACAGGCGCAAATCAGTTCAGCGTAGCAATGACTCTCAAGACTTTCGGAGAAATTTTACTCTTTTAAGTTAACCATCTTTAGAACAAATGAACCAATACAGTGCTAGCATTAACAACTAGCATTTATTGAGCAATCACTTTGTTCCTGTTGCTATATAGGCACTTTATAAAATCTCACCATGAGAGGAGGTATCCTCCTTTTTTAGATTAGGGAACTGGGCGCTGAGTCAACAACCCCCTCTATGTGTGACTTACTCACACTTCAATTGAAACATCCATTCCCAAAGCCCACGTTTAAGAGTTCTGGATATTATCTTATTTCCTGATAGTACTCCCAGAAGTGGTGTTCCACATCACTTGCATCTCTAAAGCAATACTCACAGACTTAAATCTTCAAAAATACTTGAGACTTCACATTTATTATTCAATAGAGATAATTCTGGTCCATTCTCTGGGATGTCTTCCTTAAATTCATAATTACCCTTCTGGAGATATGTGGATACCGTACTATCACCTTAGTGAACCACGGAGATTGCTGTGTGAGACTCTGGGTACAGGGTCAGTGAAGCCCTATAGAATCCTTTGTACCTGGGGGCACTGCTAATAGCATCACCAAGTTTGTTGTATAGTGAGTTATCTTTATAATGGAATCTTACAATGTAATGGATATTTAAATGTGGTAAATTTTCTGGAGGAAAGATTCAAACACATGGGCTTTATATCCCTATAGAAATTACTCCAGAATTTCTGAATGTGTTGAACTGCTGGTATTACATTTCTATCGGAAAAAGAATTGAAAATGTGGAGCCATAGGGATTTGGCATACAGCTTCCACTTCTCCCACATGTACAGTTACTTAGTCACCTGTGATGGCCAGCTGAGTCACAAAGAAGGTCATTCTCGACTTCCTTTTCCTCCTCCATGTGGAGAACAGCACGTTGGCGTTTCCAACAGTGGTGAAAACAAAGAGGACCCACAGAGTTATCAACTGCTCAGTCTGCAAGAAACAGAGCAACACAAAACCAGTGCACCAATGAGGACCAGGGCACTTTTCTGAAGGTGTGGCTTGGGCTTGGGTGTGGGAATGCCTTCCTCTTCCTTCCACAACCCCTCCTGTCAAAGTTCTATTCTGGAGAGGACAGTAACACGATGGCTCTTATTTACACTGGTAGCAGGGTAAATAGGTGTAACACTTAAGAAATCTATTTGGAAATATCAAAAAATATATATATTCCTTGACAAAGCAGTTTTAACTCTACCTGAAATAACTCAGAGTGTGAAAAAGAACACTACATATTCAGCCATAAAGAAAAATGCAGTTCTGATACTTGCTATGATATGAATGAATCTTAAAAACATTATACTGAGTGAAATAAGTCAGACACAAAAGGACAGATATTTTTTATGATCCCACTTGTGTGAAATTTCTAGAACAAGCAAATTAATGGAGACCAAAGTTTATTGGTAGTTACTGGGGGCTGGGAAGGGGTAGAGTGGGGAATTATTGCTCAGTGGGTACTGAGTTTCTGTTTGGGGTGATGAAAAATGTTTGGAAATGGATAGTTGTCCATGGCTGCACAACATGGCGAATGTAATTAATATGAACTGTACACTTAAAAATAGTTAAAATGGCAAATTTTTGTTGCATATTAAAATAAAATATAATAAAATTTTAAAAAACTCAAGATATTAAGTAAAGGAACACTACAACCACAAAGATGTGCATATTTATTATAAGAAGAAAGTAAAGTTTAGTTTAAAGATAACAGGATGGTTAAGTAGATAAAGGCACTTTGATTCTGTGAAATATCGTGTCACTATTAACAATGATGGCCATAAAGACTATGTAGCTACATTAAAAATGCTTATAATATAATGATAAGTGAAAAAAAATGATGAAAATTATATATCCAATGATTATAACTGTGCAAAATTATACACTGAAGTACATGAAAATGTTAAAAGTGGTTATTTTAGGGTAGTGTGATTATGGGTTATCTTTTCCCTTTTCCATTTGGCAGAATTTTATAATACAGTAATATTAAAGTTTCACTGAATAATGTATAATTAGTAAAATAAATAAATAAATAAAAAGCAGGAAGGCTAGTCATTTAAAATGCCAACTCCATAAAACTTTTCCACGATTCCTTCAAATGGAGCTTTTCATCTGTCTGAAGTCCACAGCCCAGGATAAGCAGAGACCCAGGGCGCTGGACTAGGCTGGGTGGGGACAGGGACCAGGCCGAGCTAGTCCGTGGCTGACGAGCATGGGGCCAAGGAGATCCGGGAGACCGCACCCAGGGGCAAACCTGAAATTTATAACCAGATGGCCCAACAGAGACATCAGCCCAAAAGTTCTGGGCAGAATCCAGTTAAGAATGCCCACGTCTGAAACTAGAGCCTGCAGGGCAGAGGAGCCTGTTTGGAGGAAGAGATAAGAAAAGAGACCCGAAGAAACCCCAAGTCCTGAGGCATTGCTGCAGCACCGGGCAAATAGTTGTGCATTAATCATTTACAACCCCTGCATGTTAGGCCAAAACCAAAAAACAAGCCCGTTGCCATGGAGTTGGCTCCTAATCATGGCAACCCCACGTGTTACAGAGTAAAACTGCTCCATAGGCTTTTCTGGGCTGTAACTTTTACAGAAGCAATTCCCCAGGCCTTACTTCTGCGGCATCACTAGGTGGGCTCCAACCGCCCATCTTTCAGTTGGCAGTCGAGCATAAACCTTTGTGCCACCCAGGGCCCTGCAGGTTAGGACAGTCCGCTGGAAAAGGGCAACCAGGAAGAATTTGGAATTTTCCATCCTGACAAGAGGAAGGCTAAGACCGGACTTCCCCAGGCTCTGGACCTGGGCTGGGGAAGGCAGTGTGCAGAACTTCAGCCTGCAGAATGTATTACTGAAAGTGGCTCACAGGCAGTACTGAGATATGAAAGATCATATCAAGAGCCCCAGCTATGAAAACGGTTTATAAAGCAAAGATCCAAAGCGGCTGAGCTAAAGGGACAGCACCCAGCACCCAGCACCCAGCAGTAAGGAGTGGGCACAGACAGGAGATGTCACATAGGGGGAAAGCTCAGCTCCTGTTGTGACGCCAGAATTCCGGGGTCAGGGGGTAGTAAGGGTATCTCTCGGGTCTCTTTCTTATAATAATGAACAATTACATCAGGATATGCATGCAGAAATAAAATGATAAAATACAGAAAAACAAAAAGAAGGAACTAAAACTGTTGCAATTTTGGTGTATATACTTTCAAAACCAATCCTCCTCTCTCTTTTTTTCTCGTCTTCCCTCCCCGTATCTCTATCTCCTTCTCTCTTTCCATGCGCACAAATAGGCATCTGTTTTAAGGTTTTGTTTTGGTACTTGCTCTTTTTTTTTAATACCGCAACGTGTGTTCGTTTGTTTTTTATCCCCAGGGTTATACAGGAGGCAGTTAAAGCTCAGAAAAATTAGCCCAGGGTCAAAAGAGGCCTGATTTACACCTGCTTTGCTTTACACCTGTATTCTGGCTCTCCGACAATGAGACACAACTTCACCCAACCCCTGATAATGACCACCCACTTTCCACTGGATGGATATATTGTAATTTACTCAACTGATCTCCTATTATTGGACATAGATTTTTAGCTATTTTTTTTATTTTGGATCATAAATAATCCTATAGCAAACATCTATGTACATTCAGGCTTGATTGATTCCTGAGGAAAAATTCCTAGATGTGAACAATTGGAATCAAAGAAATATGTAGATTATAGAGATCTTGCATACATATTAATTGCTATCAAGAAATGCTTGCAGCAGTTGTTATTCACATTGCCAGTACTTGAAGATGAACATTTCAAAATACTCTCCTAAAGACGGGGTATTTTTGTTGCTGTTAATCTTTTCCAATTTAGTAAATGACAACACTTAATGCATTCTATTATTATGAATTGCTATTATCTTTTCATCAACTACTTATTGACCATTTCTTCTTTTGTAAATTATATGTTTGGAAACTTGACCCATCTTTCCACTCTTTTGGATTAATTTGCAAGAATCCTTTATTTATAAGGAATATAATCTCTTGGTAATGTAAGTGGCAAGTGTTTTATCAGTTTGTAACTGCATTTTGTTTGTGGTATCTTTTTATAACATATCCACAAAAAAGGGCGTAACATATATATGTACAGATTACTTAAGAAGTGCTCAGATGCTGTCTTAGGCTAGGTTCTCAGTTCTCTGGAGAAGCAAAACCAGTGAAGTGTACACACACACACACACACACACACACGTGTATACATATATATAGAGAGAGATAGATAGATAGATTTATCTCAAGGAGATTGTTCATGTGGTTGTAGAGGCTGGCAATCCCAAGTCTGTGGGTCAGGTGTCAGGTTGGAGGCTTCTTCTGACTCATGTAGCTGCAGAGGCTGATGAGTCCAAGATCAGCAGGTCAGATGGCAGGCCACTGGCTCACAGGCTGTCAAGGCTAATAAGTCCCAAGATACGGCAGGCCGTTGGCTCAAGTCCCAAGAACTGGAGGTCAGATAATGGCAAATCAGACTCAGGATCCAGAGCAAATGAGCTTTGCTAGAACGTCCATATATATATTGAATGCAGGCCACACCTCCTAGGAAACTCCCCTTACAACTGATTGGCCAATTGCATTGGATTACATCAAGGAGGATGACTATATCATTACATAACTGCCAAACTACATCATTACATAATTGCCAAATCGCTTGAGAATCATGGTCCAGCCAAGCTGACACATAACCTTAACCATCATGGATGCTAACCAAAAAGATGGCCATTCAGATCCACCCAGTGGCTCTGTGGGAGAAAGACCTGGCTATCTGCTCCTATAAAGATTATAGCCAAGAAATCCTACGGGACAGTTCTACTCTGTCACATGGGATCACTATGAGTAGAAATCAACTTGATGACATCTAACAGCAACACAGATTACTTAACAAAACATATGATAAAAGCTCATTTAATCATTAACAAAATCATGAAGAAGACCATTGCCAGCATCAAAAAGCCCCCTATTATATTTCTTGTCATAACCCCATTCTATCCCTCCTAGAGAAACTATAGCTTGATTTTTCTGATAATAATTTCCTTACTTTTATTTTGTTTTTTATTTATTTCACTGTTACCACTAAAAATTCATCCATAAAGACTTGACCTGTTTTTCAACATTATGTGAATACTTTCATGCTGTATGTATTCTTTTGGTCTTCCTACTTTGGTTTATGATTGTAAGGTTCACCCATGTAGTTGCATGGAGCTGTATTTTTTTTTTTCATTTTTATTCCTATATAGCATTCTATTTTATTCATCCATGTAGTCTGATAAACATTTAAGTAGTTTCCAGTTAGGAGCTATTATAAGTAATGCTACTAGGTATGCTTTTCTCTAACATATATTTCTAGGAAATGGAGGAACTGGGGGGAAGCAAATCTTCAACTTGACTCTATAATGCTAACATGTTTTCTTTATGAGCTCTGGATAGAGTTTTTCAGCTTTCTACATAAAGCTTCCTTTACATTTTGTATTTCTGGGTATTTTATATTTTAGTATTTCTATTGCAGATGGGATCTTTTACTTACACTATTACATTTTTCTAACAGGTCAATGATGGCTTCTATGAAAGTAACTCATTTTTGTTTACTTTGAAATCAGCCATGTTATAAATGGTTTCACTAGTTCTAATAGTTGTTTGATTAATCCTTTTGTACATTTAACAGAGAGTGTCATGTCAATAGCAAACCATAATTTTCTTCCCTTCTTTCAAATATCGTTGATGTGGTGAAAAACAGGTGAAACTGTGCACTACAGATTAGTGAGTAAGCACAAGTAAGCCAGTGAGTATCTTATTTATTGGGTAATCCATTCTTGTGCATTAGGTCTCCTTTCATTGTGAACATTTTTATATTCAAAGACTCAGCTTATAAAGTCAGGTAAGTTGTCTTCTATTACTTTTTTTCATTTTTGTTTCTTC